TAAATATGTATAATAATTTATAATATTAAAATAATGAATCTATATATTATATATATATATATATATATATATATATATATATATATATACGTATTTAGTCATGTGCAAAATATTTTTCTCTATCTCTCTCTTGAGAATTTAATTCGAACCGGTTTAGCGGGCGAATCTGCTCTGCTCTCTTTTGAAATTGAGCGATTATACGGAAAGAAGGCACTCTAGTATAGTCGGTTATAATGAGACCGCGATCGTAGACGTATGACGCGTATTTTCGCGCGATCTTCGAAGAACAAAGGGAGAGCCGTGTGTTGAAACCGGTTCCATTTTATACGTATAAAAGAAAATGAAAAAGAAGAAGCAGCAGTAGAAGAAATTAGATATCATTTCCGTAAATTTCTGGAATAAAAAAATTGATCATTCTCCATCGAGAATAAAAGAGTAGATTCTTTTAACATGAGTTTATCCCCGTTCTGACTAATCGACAATTCAAAGTATTTAGATATCTTTCGTATAAAATTACGCTCGTTTATGCGACTTGAAACAAAGCGAAGAAAACAATCGTTTTATTTTAAAGTTTTTCGTAATAATCGTAAACATTAAAATGTTACTATAGATTCTATCCCAATTTACTGTCCTGATCAATGCTTGCTCACTCACTCTCCCTCTCTCTCTCTTTCTCTCTCTCTCTCTCATCCTCCATCTCTTTCTCTCTTCTTTGGATCGTAACGTCATCCTATTTACGAGGCACGTAATTTCGATTACAAAGTTACGTTACACCCTCTTTACTCTACTACTATGTATTACTACTACTACTACTACTACCTACCCATTATTAGAATGCATCGTAGCTCGTTCCTCTTCTTATTTGCATTCCATTCGCGTATGCATCGCTTACGCGTGTAAGTGTAATAATAACAGGGGGCCTGACTAGTATAGAAAATAGAGGGGAGTGGGAGAAAGGGGGGAACTAATGGGGAGGTAAGGGGGGAGGTTTCAATTCCGTCCACGGTCTATGATAATTTCACGGCATGCACGAGGAGGCCAGGGACCGGTCTCGAATAGAATTGAACGAGGTAGAACTCGCGAAGCGAGAAAAGCCTGTAAAAGCAAGACGAGCATTTGAAAGAGAGGGAGAAAGAGAGAGAGAGAGAGAGAGAGAGAGAGAGAGAGAGAGAGAGAGAGAGAGAGAGAGAGAGAGAGAGTACGCGTGCCCATGCTAAGGACAGAGATTAATCTCGCGAGTATAATATAACAGGCTACTACTCTCGGCAGCAAAGCTCGACAGCGAGTCGAATGAATTTACGATAGATAGAAATCGAATTTCTTTTTACTATTCTTTTTTTTTTTTTAATTTTTGTTGCATTTTTTTTTTTTTTTTTTTTTTTTTTTTTTATTAGCAGCATATTAACGACGAAACGCATCGACGATATTATAGTTTGTTGTCCCTCTCCTCTTTGAATTCCAAACCCCACTTTCCAAACGATCTAATCTCTTATAAAGTCACATGAACGAGTTTCACGTTCCTCCTTCCCTCTCTCTCTCTCTCTCTCTCTATCTCTTTCTCTTTCTCTCTTTCTCTCTCTCTCTCTGTCCCTATTCCTCCTCCCCACCCTATCTACCCTTTTGCCTCTTTAGGAACCCGTTATGGCGAATCGCGCGTGGCGTTACAATTTCTCGAATAAAATTCGTTTTCGTTACGGCCGAATTGGCACGTTAAGTACCCTCTCGGCACGAGGCTCTCTTGTTCAATGTATACATAGAGAAAATAGAGAGAAAGAGTGAGAAAAAAAGAGAGAGAGAGAGAGAGAGAAAGAAGAAAGCTATATTCTTTTTATGTGTGATAGCACATCGTTCCTCTTCTTCTTTTTTTTTTTTTGCATTCTTCTTTATCTTTAGAATTCGTGTAGATTCATGTACGATTAAAGGTCGTCGGAAATTCATTGATATTCTATTCGTATTCACCTTGCATCTCTCGTAATAATGCAAATTAATGTTTTCTCTCTCTCTCTCTCTCTCTCTCTCTCTCTCTCTCTCTCTTTTTCTCTCTATCTCTATCTGTGTAGGCGAATAAGTAACCGATCGGTCGGCTAATGAACTGTCGTCAACGTGAGTCACGCGAGTGTTCAGACTTTCGCGAAATATACCTACTTCCTCTACCGGTTTTTCAATTTGCATGAAAAACTTTCCGTTCGATTAAATGCCTTCAATAATCTAAATTACTAATCAAGATCGACATGATTAACAATGATTATTACTAATAATTGAATACTTAAGCAATTCATTATTTAAATAATTTCTTAATCTCCTTTATAAGTGCATATAACTTAAAAATCCCATGATTATATGTATTATTTAAATTCTATTTTATTTTATCGTCGTTTAATTTAATTCATTCATATACGATATTTTTAAGATTAAAAAAAAAAAAAAAAAAAAAAAAAAAATGAGCTATACTTAATATAAATATATAATATAATTATAATTAATACGAGTAGAAAAAGAAAAAATTGAATCGTAAAGATTTTAATTGATACTTTTGATTGCGAACGAATAGAATTTCTCGAAACGTCCTTGAAACGTGTTGATAAGTAAATCTTATCCATGAGGTAGAATCGAGCTAGTATATTTTTAAAACTAAACGTTCTAAATAAGAAAACTTGTTTTCTTCTATATCGGTGTCGCA